ATTGCTATGAGGCTGCGAACCACATTGATTTTTTAGGTGCCAACTAGAGTCCTGGTTAATTTGATTACCAAGTTGCTTTAGTGGTCCATTATCAAGAATAACATCTTATACATTCAGGTCTATATACACCAGGGTTTGGTATCACTTTGGATATATACGGTCACAGCTTTTTGTCTCGCAGAACAGTTTTATACTCAGGGGTTTCACAAATAAAATAAAATATAAAATAGCAGGCCATCATTCTGTAACAACAGGCCAAAAAAAAAAAAGAAGGCTCTGGACAGTGCGAAGTGCTGCAGCAAGGCGGACATATGTGGTTCGAAAGTAGACAAAGTAGCCAAATTGAGTTTGTAGCCGGCTGGCTCTTAACAAAATCCCTGATGCTCAATCAAACGTGGGAAAACAAAACAACAGCGCGTATTATACTCTGATTGGAATGCAAGTTTTACACATGGTTGAGTTTTATGATGACGAAAAAAAGGCCCATAGCAGAGCACATTTTTCTGAAGAAAAACAACATTATTTTCTAAAAATAAACTTACTGTTTTCTAAAAATAAACCATACCGGGGGTAATGCACAGTGTACAGAATAAAATCTGACCCAAGCATTTTGTCATATCTTAATTAGTAAAGTGATCAAAGTCTACACTAAAACAGATCTGTCAGTGTTGTATCGTTGTTTCTATTTCCAGGGTCTGTCGCTACGGTGATATCTGTTCACATAGGATAACTGACAGCTATTGATGAATTTATGTGATATCTTTGGCAATTACAGTGCGATAACTGAGAGGAATGATCACCTCGATACAATACATTAAACAAATTAATAATGACAAGTAAAACCATAAAATTAGTCATAAATGAACAAAAAAACAGTAAATAAAATATGAAAAAAAATAGGAGCCTAACTATTGAATTATCAGAATGTAGTTTACTCAAATAGACACTTGGCACATGTTTGCTGTTTGGGTGGGCGAATATAAAAAAAGTTGACACATATCAAATAATTGTGTGTATATTAGTTAACTTAAGGTTGGAAGAGAGATTAATAAAAATGAAAAAATCTCTATTTAATTTATATTTATCAAAAGGTATATTGTCAAATTACTAAACTGTTGATGATGATTTATGGGTTGAACAGGGAATATCTAAAAATGTAAACCATAATTTTAGAAATGTACGTACATCGGACAGAATTGTATATATTATCCACCGAATAGTGAAATTTGCACTGGAGCACAGAATGTTAGAAAATGTTCTTGCGCGAAGACACAAATGCCCTTGTTCGGCCAGTAACATTATTATTATATGTCTCTTGTAGAGTATACATAAATTTTACTTACCAACCCAATATATCACACATACCATCGATTAACAAAGTACAGCAAAACTTTTGTTTTCTGCATAGCACTGATCCTTACAATGGTCAATATGAACTTCACTGGAACACAAAATACCCCAGATGTTTCTATTCAAAATCACGTATCTAATTTGTGTGAAAGTGAAGGAATGTATTAATGATTACAGATTACATCAGTCAAAAATATTTGTTTACATCTTTAAAGCATACATACTTTGTGACACTGAAATTCGATGTAATGTTACTTGTGACGTTTACTAATAAGTAATCAGCTTTGAAATATTTTTGCTCCAAGTCACTGCATTTGTCATGTAAAGATCATAGATAAAAAAAAAATGTCACTTCATTCAACAAAAATTTTGAAAATAAATTGAAATATAATTTTGTTGTTTGCGTGGTGTGCTAATTGTATTTATTCTCCTCTCACAGGCGAGGGCGCTGTCTGCACATGCAGCTGAGACTGATTTCATCAGATTCTTCGTAGGAACTCAGTCATTGAAATTTGACAATCAGGTTAGTACCGGTAGTAGTAATATAAAACAGATGAAAAGTATAGTACGTCACAGTGCATAGTAGGTCACAGTACAAAGTAGGTCACAGGGAATAGTAGGTCACAGGGCATAATAGGTCACAGTGCAATGTAGGTCACAGTGCATAATAGGTCACAGGGCAAAGTAGGTCACGGGGAATAGTAGGTCACAGGGCATAATAGGTCACAGGGCATAGTAGATCACAGGGCAAAGTAGGTCACAGTGCATATTAGGTCATAGGGTGTAGTAGGTCACAGTGCATAGTAAGTCACAGGGCATAGTAGGTCACAGGGCATTGTAGGTCATGGTGCATAGTAGGTCACAGTGCAATGTAGCTAGGTCACAGTGCATAGTAGATCATAGGGCATAGTAGGTCACAGGGCATAGTAGGTCACAGTGCATAGTAGATCACAGGGCATAGTAGGTCACGTAGGTCACAGTGCATAGTAGGTCATGGCATAGTAGATCACAGGGCATAGTAGGTCACAGGGCATAGTAGATCACTGGGCATAGTAGGTCACAGGGCATAGTAGGTCACAGGGCATAGTAGGTCACAGTGCATAGTAGATCACAGGGCATAGTAGGTCATAGTGCATAGTAGATCACAGGGCATACTAGGTCACAGTGCATAGTAGGTCATGGCATAGTAGATCACAGGGTATAGTAGGCCAAAGTGCATAGTAGGTCACAGGGCATAGTAGATCACAGGGCATAGTAGGTCACAGTGCGTTGTAGATCACAGGGCATAGTAGGTCACAGTTCATAGTAGGTCACAGGGCACTGTAGATCACAGGGCATAGTAGGTCGCAGTGCATAGTAGGTCATGGCATAGTAGATCACAGGGTATAGTAGGTCACAGGGCATAGTAGATCACAGGGCATAGTAGGTCACAGTGCATTGTAGATCACAGGGCATAGTAGGTCACAGGGCATAGTAGGTCACAGTGCATTGTAGATCACAGGGCATAGTAGGTCACAGTGCATAGTAGGTCACAGTGCACAGTAGGTCACAGTGCGGCATAGTAGGTCATGGTCACAGGGCATAGTAGGTCACAGTCCATAGTAGGTCACAGTGTATAGTAGGTCACAGTGCAAAGCAGGTCATAGTGCAAAACTTGAAAACATGACATCACTTTAAAACATGTTAATAGCATTTTGAAACATGTTTTTAATACTTTGTTATGACATGTCCATACAACTCTGAACTTGAACATTTTAATATCACTTTAAACATGACAACAGTACTTTAACATGATGATAACATTTTGAAACAATACATGTATAATAATATTTGTTACTAATGCTTTAATCAGGCAATATTTAAATATTGTCAATTTCTATTTCAGATTCATCAGATAGATTATGATGATGAAAGCAATGTGATAAATAAAAATGTTTACTCCCACAAAGACGGTGAAATATGGCATATGAGTTGCAGTCCCGCTGATAAAAATGTTTTAGCAACATGTTATAATAAAAGTAAGTATATTCACACTGTATATGTTTTGTATTTACTCATCTCAGAGTACCGTAATAGACTCTCACTCCTCCTCCTGAATCCACCTGATCTCAAAGTCACACATTCTGGTATTTATGCACGACCCCTAACGGTCACACATCCTGGTATTTATCCATGACCTTCTAAAAAAGTCGCACATCCTGGTACATAATGTATTATGCATGACTCCTAAACGTCACACATTCTGGCATTATGCATGACCTCCTAAAAGTCGCACATCCTGGTATTTATGCATGACCTCCTAAGTCACACATCCTGGTATTTATGCATGACCCTTAAAGGTCGCACATCCTGGTATTTATACATGACCCCTAAAGGCTGCACATCCTGGTATTTATGCATGACCCCTAAAGGTCGCACATCCTGGTATTTATGCATGACCCCTAAAGGCTGCACATCCTGGTATTTATGCATGACCCCTAAAGGTCGCACATCCTGGTATTTATGCATGACCCCCAAAAGGTCACACATCCTGGTAGTTATGCATGACCTCCAAAAGGTCACACATCCTGGTATTTATGCATGACCCCTAAAGGTCGCACATCCTGGTATTTATGCATGACCCCTAAAAAGGTCACGCATCCTGGCAATATGCCTGACCCCCAAAAGGTCACACATCCTGGCATTATGCCTTGCCCCACATTGTCACATTTTATATACCAGATTATGTGAAAGTAATTTTTTCGAGTCCATTATTAATTTTATGCAAGTACACTTAAGAATTTCATTCATGTAAACCTAACATAGATTAAAAAGTGTTTTAAAATTCACTTAAGTGACTTAAAAGCAACCATGTCTGCAATTCATTGCTCTTTATAAGGGTCATTGTGTAATGGATGGTTAGTTTATTTTTTACATTCCACTTCCTTATTAGGGGTCAACCATTTGAAATTATGTTGGGGTCCCTGGAATATTTTTTTCCAAAAAAATTTACATGCTGGGCACCAAATGTAAAACAGTGCATGCAAGGGTGTTGCAGTAAAAAATCGTGGCATATTCAAGAAAAATAAAAATGTGTACAAATAAGGCACTGTGAAAAAAAATTGAACCCCAATTCATTTTAAATGGTTGACCCCTTAAATTGTAACAATGTATTATAACCAGGTATTAATGTCAAGTGTCAGACTTTGTATCTCATTAAATTGAGTCACATTATTTTCGTTTTTTTTGAAGAATAATCTAAAAGTTGGTCTCAATGTTTTGATCATATACCCTGTAAGGTCTGTGTTTTGATGGAGTTAAAACAAAATGCTGTGACAGTTTTGTAATGTATCACCTCAAAAGTTAATTATATGTTTCAATTTCAGGGCAATTTTTTCTATAAATTATATACCAGTAATAAAAATGAATTTATGACACAATTCAGGAGTAGTATAAAATTAATTATTATATTATATTATAAAATTATTATTATTTGAGTTTCAGAATATCATTATTTCCAGTATCAGTAATCGGTAACTGTGCAAATTAAGACTCTATGTCTAATAATGTGTTTGCCCTCTGACCAGCTGATCAAAATAAAAAACATAAATAATTCAAACTACTGAATAAGATTTTATGACTCAAACATTAAAGTGAAGATAAAAAACGTAGTAAAAAATTGTCTGTCACTGACTGCAGAAATTTGCTGTATGAATGTAGTGCTAAAACTCACAAAGTTGCGTGGGAATCATAAACACTGTTAAATGTAAATATGTAAACCATGCATTGCTGACTGTAACTCTGTTACATATTCTTGTAAGAACAAGGAAGTCACTACAGTCAGTCAGTATGATATGAAATAATACTTTTTGAAGGTATATGTTAAAGAAGACATGTACCAGGCAGTGTTTATGAAATAAAAACAAGTGTTCATTTTTTCTAAGGTTGATCAAGTATAAAACAAATGCCCCAAATCAGTATCAGTCTAGTGTGTGCATGTGGCATGTTCAATTATGCAAATTGTCTATTGGCAAACTAAGCGTTAGTTTTATATACCTGAATTTCTGTTAAAAAAGATGTATAAAAATTTGGTTATTAACAATATATCGGAATTCATCTCCTGTTTGTTGTACATGAATACTCGTATTTTATTTAATAACATTATATCATCATTATATCATGTTCTATTTTTTGTTGTTGCAACTTTGTTGATCTTTAAAATTTGCGGCTAGAAGAACAATTTACAGTGTTCTTATCATTACGCAACCAGTTCAATTTTTTTTTTTCATTTTCGACTTTACAATAACTATTTTTTTTTTAATATTTTTGTGTGAGACAACTGTCTTGTAAACTGACTGTCATTGTTGTCTTTTTTGATTTTCTTCTTTATTAGGAATGCATACAATACCATACTTGTTCTATTAGTACATGTAGATTATGATACGCTTACATAAATGATATCGATGTGTCATATTTTTATCATTCAGTATACACAATAAATGTAATTTTTTACTTTAAATTTCTGCTTTTCTATTGACATTGCACTTTTAATAGAGCTATAATGCATTTTGCCACAGAGACAATATTTAAGTTAGGGTCAACCATACACAACAGGGTGTGTTGCCATCTCTCTATCAGGTGACAATTCAATGCAATATCCTGACCTTGTCTAACACAAGTGCCTGCAGATCTTGAGCAACATTCCTTCAAAATTAGTGAATGAACTGCAGCCAGTGACTTTGACCATTGAATCCCTTATTTTGAGTTCTGCCCAAGGTTGGATTCAAACATAATATCTTCATTCGCTGATAGCTGATATTTCAGAGAAAATATTTGAGATAGTAAGCATTTTGTATTATTATTGAAAAAACACCTTAACCGTTTCTCCACCAGTCTTTCTCGCCCAAATTTGTCTGCAGTTCTTTCTCATTCTTCAATATTTCTGGAAATGAACCCTAATTTTGGAGCCAACAGACGAAATTTGAGACAATTTCCATTTTTCCCAATCTTCTGAAAGAAAATGCAGACTATAAATGGGACTATTTTGTAATAAAACATTGGTAATGAAAAGTTTAAGTTGACATTCAAATATTTTTCTTTCAGCATCAGACTCAAAAACAGAGATGCATGCCTCGCTCTGGAAAATACCAACAGACTTTGAAAATGTTGAACACATCGACGAGCAGAGCACAGCGCAGTCTTTAGAATTATTATGTCATCTTGACAACAGTAACTATGGCAACATGGTCAGGTATAGTTTTGTTGCACTTATATTTTAATATGAAGGATAATTTTTTTAATAGTTTATAACCACTCGTCAGAGAGGTAATTTTTTCATTTGGAGCTAAAAAAACATACCGATACATATTCTCTGTTCTTTGCAGTCAGCAATTACAACTGAAGTGAAAATAATAATCTATTTAAGAAATAAGTATGTGGGTGTGATGAACACCTGCTATTCTATCTTAGTTTAAAAAAAATGCCAACAGACATAATATATCTTGTTATAGGTTGCTATGGGAACCACAAGGTGATGGGCGAAAACTGATTTCATTAACAGATAACCATGTAGTATTATGGGATGTCAATGAGAATTGTAAAGAAGCTAAGGTAGGGAAGAGTCATGAGAAGAGGGGGGGGTGTATTTGATTCACAATTTGGGGAAATTTCTATAATGAAATAGAACAAATTATTTTTTCGTATTGTATTTGTAAGGTCATTAAAGTAAAAAATCCATATTCTGACCAGTCATATTTTGTAGTGTTTTTGAAAAAACTATTCTTAGATCTGCAACTCTCTCTTCATTAAAAACAAATCATGTGTACTCATTTCAGCGGTTTTTAAATTGGGTGTCTGCAATTTAACAGTATTTTGAACTATTAATTATAAAGTCTGATTGAAAAAACATAGTTTTACGTGCTCAAATTTACTCATTCTCAATAATACTGAAAAGAAA